ATTCATATGTGCTTGAAAAGGAAGAAGAACCGTCATCTAAATATGTCTGACAAATATTTTCCAGTTACCTTAATGTGATAGTTTACAGTTTCCATTTTTCTTAAGATTTGATATGCATCAGTTTGCTGGAGATGCCGAACCATTTAAATATAAGAGGATGCTTCATTAGTGCCTGGATACAAGTATTAATTCAGTCTACTAGTTCAGAAAAGCAGAGAAGAAAAGATTGAAGAGAGGAATATGTGTTGTGTCCCAGTTGGTAACAAGTTTTGTAAAAAGAACTAGAAAATGGCCGATCTGAATTCTCTAGCCCGCAAAGTCCTCTGCCAACCAGTATAAATTTCATGGTACTGCTCTGTCATCCTAATCTGAGTTGCTTTTTAAATTTGACAAAGAGGTTACAATAAGCTATGCATGGGTATGTGTTTGTAGACACTTCAACTTTCTAAGAAATCTATAAAAAGTAAATGCTATATATACTTATGTATAAGTCTAGAAATTTTTGTTTAAAATCCCCCCCCCCCCCGGCAAAACTGGATCGACTTATCCATCTGTCTAATGTAATACTGTACATTAACACTTATTTAAAAAATTACCACCCCCTTCTCTGAATAGAGTGGTGAAAGGTGACAGCTTAGTCTGTCCTAAGAGAACCTAAAAGAAGCACTGACTCTTTCTGCCTTTCATTGCCATGGGACTGTTTCTAGTCTTTTTAAATGCCTGGACAAGAAAATGGTAGTGGTGGTGGCTCTTTACTAATACTTACCCTCATAGAAACACTAAGAGAGGGTAGATGGTTTTAGGTTCTCTAAACCACATGTGTCAAACTCAAGGCCCATGGGCTGAATCAGACCTAGTAGCCCTCCAGATGATGGACCAACTCCTATATTCCTCATCATTAGACATAATTACTAGATTCGATGGGAGTTGTAATACAATAACGTCTGGAAAGCTGCCGTTGTTCTGTTTAACCAGGGAAGTGCAGTTTGAATTTAGATACAAGGCTTGTGGACATGATGTCTGACTTTAAAATGTCTGACTTTTCCCCAATCTCAGAGCCAGAAGTGCTGTTGGGTTACAATTCCCATTGTACCCAGTCCACATGGTGGAGAATCAAAACATCCAGATACCCAAACTGAGTAAAAACTAAAGAGCACCAACCACTATGTAAAATAACATTATACTCATACTGGGCCCTTTGTGTCCACAGATTCAATGTTCTTTTGAAGGCAACCATAAGGCTGATGTGGTCCTCAATGAAAATGAGTTTGACACCCAAGAACTGGGAAGCCTGGCCCTTGAGCACTCTAACTGGAGGCCAGCTGTGACCAGCAATGCTGCAGAATTCAAAGAGGCACAAATGGAGGGCAGAAGGGAGAAATGTGCCAAGAGGGAGGCATGTCAAGCCAACCCTGAGCGGGACAGCCTTCCATCTAGAAACTAATGTCCTCACTGTGGGAAAACATGTGGATCAAGAGTAGGACTCCACAGGCACCTACGGACCCACCACCAAGACACCACATCTGGAAGACAATCATCCTCGAACTACAAGTAATTCTAAGTAAGTAAGTACTAGTCAAACTAGGCTCTTATCTTTGACCACTCTACTTAGAAAAACGCATAGTTCCTTTTCTTGATAAGAGTTAATACCGTACCTTAACCTTTTTAAAAAAAGAAAGCACTGAATAGAATGATGAAATACCTTGTTGAGTACCTAGGTGGGGAAATGGTGGCAGTGGCCAGAGGCATCCCCTTGAAGTGGCTCCAAAAGCTACCTGAACATATACATGAGGTCGAATTATATACAAGTACATACACAATTGCTACATATTCGCTTTCTTCTGATTAATCCAGTTTTTCATTTCTTCCTTGCTTAGTATGATTATTTCACACTATGCTTAGCATCTGAATGTATTTTTGCTTGCAAAAAACTACATGGGGTACAGTGTTCATTAGCAGTTTGAGATAAATAGTAGAAAAAAGAAACCACATTTAGTAGAATAAAAGAAACCAAATAGTAGAAAAAAGAAACCAAATCTTCAGGCTGGAGGGAATGTGTTATTTTTAAGAGAAACAAAAAAGGGTCCCTTTCGCTAATATCTGGAAATATATTTATTTTCCAGTGCTGCAGTGGCCTTCAAAATCCTTCCGTGGTATATGATAATTCTAAAAACAAAATAAATTATGAAAATATTTAAAGAGAAGTTCTCACTCCCCAAAACATGTACTCATTTTCTATGGAGGCCAACCAGGCACAGTTATGCAGTGGAAACCTCAGACTTATCAGCTTTCTGTGCTTTAGTAAAACATATGTCCTTTAAAATTCACTTGAGATATTTTAAAGGATGTATGTTCTGTAATTATGAGTTGCCTGGTTTATAATTCATTTAATTTTCTTTTTGACATAAGTGGTGTGTGTGTGTGTGTGTGTGTGTGTAAGAGATCGTAAAAATAAATTTTTAATTATAAAAGGATGTAGCATCATCCATTATTAATAATAATCAACAATGTGGAATGTGTGTTTATATATAAAATCCATTAGGAAGACAAGCTGACTACAAACCTAAAAATAATGCTTGCATTTCTCCTGTATATACAGTTGGGGGTGGAAGGATCTTCTCCGAAAATAAAGTCTAAGAAATTAATTGAATTACTCCATAAAAACATGAAAACAGGTAGCAACATATTGACCTATATCCACCAAGTAACCATGGCATACAGCCTCTCTGCTCATCAGATGGAACCAAAATACTGAAGGACCAAAAATCAATTGCACTACGTTGGAAAGAACACCACCAAAGCCTCCTGGACCACAGCTCCAATGTGGCCGAAGAGGTTCTCTCACAAATCCCGCAATAACAAACCAGGGATGGGCTTGCAGCACTGCCTAGTTTGGAGAAAGTCAGCAGTGCCATCAGCCAAAAAAAAAAAAGCCAGCAGACTTGATGGGATCCCTGCTGAAATCTTTAAAGAGGGAGGACCTGAGCTGACACAACGACTCCACCAGCTCAGTGTGGGTGACTGGGAAAATCCCAGCAGATTTCAAGGATGCCACCATCATCACCCTCTTCAAAAAAAGGGGAAAGAACAGACGGCGGAAACTATTGAGGTATCTCCCTTCTAACCTCAATTGGGAAAATCCTCACAAGAATCCTTGCACACCGCCTTCTACCCCTCTCAGAAGATACCCTCCCAGAATCCCAGAATGGCTTCCGCCCCTCCAGAGGAACAGTGGACATGATCTTCACTGCACGAGAGCTCCAAGAAAAATGCAGGGAACAAAATCAATCTCTGTACATGGCATTCATTGACCTTGCAAAGGCATTTGACACAGTGAATCGCAGTGCTCTCTGGACCATCCTCCAAAAAAATTGGGTGCCCTAACAAATTTGTGACCATCCTGCAGCTCCTCCATGATGATGTGATGGCAACAGTCTTGGACAGCAATGGCTCCCAAAGTGACCCATTTAAGGTGGAATCAGGCATCAAACAGGGATGTGTTATTGCCCCAACTTTATACTCCATCTTCATCGCTATGATACTTCACCTTGTTGATGGGAAGCTTCCCAGTAGAGTGGAAATCATCTCTCGCACAGATGGCAAGCTGTTTAACCTCAGCAGACTAAAAGCCAAAACCAAGGTTACAACATCTGTTATGGAACTCCAGTATGCTGATGACAACATTGTCTGTGCGCATTTGGAAGAAGATCTACAAGCCACTCTAAACACCTTTGCAGAAGCATACGAGAAGCTCGGTCTGTCATTGAGCATCGAGAAAACCAAAGTGCTTTTCCAGTAGTCAGCAGCCAACCCCTTCCCAATGCCAGAGATACAGCTTAATGGTGTAAATTAGAAAAAGTTGACCATTTCCGCTACCTTGGGAGCCAGCTCTCTACCAAAGTCAACATCGACACTGAAACGCAACACCGCCTGAGCTCTGCAAGTGCAGCATTTTTCCGAATGAAGCAGAGGCTGTTTGAGGACCGGGACATCCGTGCTTGTTTATAAAGCTATTGTCCCCACCAACCTTGCTATATGCCTGTGAAATGTGGACTGTCTACAGACGTTACATGCAACTCCTAGAATGATTCCATCAGCGCTGCCTCTGGAAAATCCTGCAAATCTCTTGGGAAGACAAGCGGAAAAATGTCAGTGTGCTGGAAGAAGCAAAGACCACCACAATTGAAGCGATGGTCCTCTGCCATCAACTCTGCTGGACTGGCCACGTTGTCCGGATGCCCGACCACCATCTCCCAAAGCAGTTGCTCTACTCTGAACTCAAGAACGGAAAACGGAATGTTGGTGGACAGGAAAAGAGATTTAAAGATGGGCTCAAAGACAACCTTAAAAGCTCTGGCATAGACACTGAGAACTGAGAAGCCCTGGCCCTTCAGTGCTCCAGTTGGTGGTCAACTGTGACCAGCAGTGCTGCAGAATTTGAAGAGGCATGAATGGAGGGTGAAAGAGAGAAATGTGCCAAGAGTAAGGTGCGCCAAGCCAACCCCGACCGGGACTGCCTTCCACCTGGAAACCAATGCCCTCACTGCAGAAGAAGATGCAGATCAAGAACAGGGCTCCACAGCCACCAACAGACCCACAAGAATTCTGATCCTGGAAGACTATCCTACTCGGCCAATGAGGGATTGCCTAAGTAAGTAAGCGAGTAAGTAAGTATATCCACTTATTGGTCCTAACTACTGCTGACCCGACCCCCTGAATTCATGCAACACAGATAATTGTTGATTTCCCAAGTTTCTATTGATTCAATTGTGTGATGCTGAATGACACTAGCAAACAATGAAGCAGATGCTCAGAGTCTAGTGAAGTCTGTGATTAATTACCCTTCTCTGTGGATTTTTCCCAACACATAATGCCCCAAAATGATATTGCCTCTGAAGATGGAGGTTTGATGGAACACCCTTGTAAAAGCTTATCTGAATCAGTGGATACAACCACATCTTCTGACATTAGATTTTGTGTACGCATATATTTAGGGGGAATAACAACAAGCACAACAATAATCCTTTTTGGCTGATGAGGACTTTCCTTAAACTATTATTGATCAGCTTCACCGATGACCCTAATTTTAATATTATCAGAGAGAGATTACCAAGTTTGCCCATTGGTCATTGGTTATACGGAGTTTGGAACATCATATTGTTAGAGAAACTTCACCTTGCCAGTGGTAAAATAGCTGAAGATGTTTTTGAAATGACATTGTTTTAGTTTTCAAAGAAGTTGCCATGTTAGTCTCTCACAACATAAAAAGAAGGAAACACTGCATTTGAAGTGAGTTTATATCCATGAAAGCCCATACAGAAATAAAAACCAGTTAGTTTTAAAGGTGCTGCCATATTTCTTTTTCTTTTCCCTCTAACTCACCATTACTTCCTTTTTTTTTAGACTGCAAGGTATCCATTTGAAACATATATGACACATGCAAATTCTAGACATGCCCACTGTTGAGTCATATAATATTTGGGAAGCAATCACCATGAATACTTTTTGGCCTGTGGCTGTCATTCATCTTTGATAGCAATTGTCTGATTACACTTTGAATCATGGAATGTTGTCTGCAGTGGGTGAAGGTTGGGGGAGAAAAAAGAAATGAAAAATGCAATCATTCCTTGGAAACATTCTAGAATTCATCTTATACAATTATTAGAATACATTGCAAAACATTTTCCCACTTTTCCATCTCTTCCCCATCTGTAACAATTATGAAATTCTAAAAATGGATTTGTGTGTGATGCTATACAAACTGTACACAATTTATAACATAACTCTGGATAGCAAACATTGTTGCTGTTGTCATCGTCATCATAACCATTGTTGTTTTTCTTCATCAATATTATTATTGTTGCTATTATCATCATCATTATTATAAATCTATTCTTCAGTAGGGATGGTTCATGGGAATTTCAGTCAACTCCTTGATTAGTGGTAACAGACTTGAGAAATCTCCAGAGCCAGTTCTAGGCACTCACTGGTTTCGTGACAAGATTCAAATATGCTGCAATCAATATCACAATCGCAGCTGCAGTCGCCATTGCTGGAGTCATCAGTGGCAGTTTGATAATATCTATGGGAAGGGCAGCACACGTTGGTCAACCAATTTTCACAGACATCAGGACACATGAATAGAAAGTCCCAAAACTGGCAAAACAAGCAGGCCAAGATGAGTGTGGCACATTCATCTGTTTTCAAAAGAAAAACAGAGGTAAGATTCACAAGGAAATATCAGATCCATGAGCATTGTCATCCAACCAAGGCATGAAACAAGAGAGTACTCCCTCACTCCTCATCACTGAAACACCAGGAACTGAATTTAAAATGGTCCAGGGTATAGCCAGCCTAAGTCGTTCTTCTCCACCTTGAAGCCCATTGCCTGCATTGGTTTCAAAAAATTGGAGATTGTTTGCAGAACTAAGTTAGAGTAAATCTCTCTCTGGTCTGTATAATTTCCACATTTTAAACTGATATTTGCATTTGCATTGCATTTCTGTCCTAATCTGTCATTAACAAAAAAAACCTTCTACAAATATTATTATCTCAATATACGATTACTTTCAACATACCGATTTAAGTTTGAAAGGAGAAACAATTTCATAGAAACAGGAAGGGAAACTGTTGTCCATTCTAGCTAGAAGTGCTACTCTTTTTAGAAATCCTGCTGGAGAAAGAGGCAAGTTCCCCAGTGACTAAGGCAGAGGCGGCAGGTAACAGAAGAATAAGGAAAGATACTGTTTCTTGCATATCCATCATGGCTTCCCTACCCATCTCTTTGAGCAAGTACCTCCCAAAACCTACAGAACAGCTGGCTCTGGAGGTAGTTGGTGGCAACCTTGGTAATCCCTAGAATTCCTCCCTCCTGATGCCTGAGGCTGTTGTGTGAATTTGCATATGGCACTTTTAAGCCATAGGGTGGGAGAAGTTTTGGAGTGATGATACCAAACCCACAAATAATTAAATCTGTTGATGTCAAACCAGTGAATGTGGGAGAGATGGCAACTATATACTCACTCTTTAACATTTCAAATTATTTTCCAATCTACAAAAAATGTGAATTTTGGAAAGTTTTTACGGCATTTTTATTGGCTGAATTCATTAGGTACAGCTATTAATAGCAGGAAGAACAAAATCATATCATACTTCCTTGCCATGTAACTGCCACAAATAAGGAAAGACCAGAATAAGATGATTGGGGAACCTTAATTCTATGCCACAAACATGGCTGAATGCACAAGCAGTGAAAGCCAGACTTTGAAGAACTACACATTCAAAGCCCAAAATTAACATATCAGTCAATTTAATCTTCCCTTAAATTTGCATTGCAGTTGCAGATTTGTAACCTAGAGTTATGGATCCTTAATTGCTCCATATTCATGTGTCCTGTATATTCGTGATTGTGGCACTATTGCCATGATGATAGATATCCCCCTATACACACCTCAAATTTTAGGAGCCACTTGAGCAATAGAAGTTGTGATGAATAGGGTGCTTTGAGAGGATTGGCTAGTCCCTTCAAGCCATAGTACAAAGAGCAAAATATCTGCACGTTGCACTGTAGTTTGGGGAAGGAGCAGCTTTGTCACACTGGAACTAAGAGGCCTAGCCATGTCCTTTTGTAGTGTCCTGCTTGGAATAACTTTTTAACTTTAAAGTAGGTTCAAGAGCTTGATTCTTTAGGGCTTTGTAGGTAATAATCTGCACTTTGAATTGAGACTGGAAACTTATCAGCAGCCAATGGAACTGCTTTAGTAGGGACATTGTGTGCTTCCGTTAGTAACCTGGCTCCCAATCTTTGCACCAATCACAGTTTCAGAGCTATCTTCAAAAGCAGCCCCATGTAGAGTGCATTGCAATAATCCGGTCTGGGTGTGACTAAGGTGTGGACCACCATGACCAAATCAGGTTTTTTGACATATGGTCGCAGCTGACACACAAACTTTAACTGTGGAAGGCCCTCCCAGCCACCGCCAACACCTGAGTTTCAAGCATCAGCGCTGAGTCCAGGAGGACCCCCAGACTGTGAACTTGTGTCCTCAGGGGGAGTGTAACCCCATCGAGCACAGGTACCCATGCTATACCTCAATCAGCCTCATGAGCGACCAGGAGGACCTCTGTCTTGTCTGGATTAAGCTTCGGCTTGTTAGCATTCATCCAGCCAATCACTGCTGCCAGATACTGGTCCAAGGCTGCCTTGGATTTCAGTGGAAAGGAGTAGTAGATGGCTGATGGCATACACATTTCCATTTAAATCTTTTAAATGTTGAATGTGTTTGGAATGAGTGCCCCCCCTCACTTTTTTGTCTGCATCAGTGTTCAGAAACATGTGTTCATTTATTTTTTGCATTGCACACAAAAACATATATGTAACACTCCTGCATATACATTCTGAATATGGTGCTGTGTAGTCTCATTAGTGAACTGCAGTGCATGTACACATCTATGTAAACAACATGCAACCTGCACCAATGCACATGAAGAACCATAGACAGTACAAAATCATATGGGACCATATGCTCTTTTTCTTCATCTTAAATTGATGCAGTCATTCTTCATAGGAAAGCCACTTTCAACAGAACTCTAGTCACTATATCCTCCCCAAAATTAATCTGTTTAAATACTTAGACTTGGAACAAATACAGCATAGTTAACGTTAAAAATACTGGTGAAAGAAAGAAAAAGAAATGCATTTTATGTAGAGAAAATATTACTTTTTTGAACAGAAAGTATAAATTCTGTGCAGGGTTAAGTCCAGACCTACAGCATTTTCTATACAGAAAATACTATATTTTCCTATCCAATTGAAAAGGCAGGGAAATTCTTTATATTACTTGTGGCTTGGTGGGATTTATGGATGATCACTCTATCCAAAGTTGAGTTACCACTTGGTTAATTGTTATGTGCAATCACAGATTGATGCATATTTTTATACAGAAGTCATGTTATACATTGTGGACCACGTAATACGTAGTTAAATAGGGTATTTATCCGAAAGTACTTCTAAATATATTCATGCAAAGGCTTCCTCAAACATCCCAAGCACTGTATTAAAACAGTTTTACAATATCGGGTAATAATGGTAAAAACCACAGGGCTGCATTAATTTCTATTAGTAAGCTATCACCCATAATATTATCAATTTTAATAGTTATCTAAATTTGTCAGGGATCTATTTAAGTTCAGACAAGCACAAGTAACTTCCAAGTCAGTCCTGGAGAATGAAAATGACTGAATTTGGGAGATACTTAGTAAATTCATGCTTTTATTTTTTTCTGAGCAAATGAACTGAAATAATTATCAAATTGAAACATTTTATAAGGTGACACTGCTGCATAATTGTATGAAATTTACAGTGTAGAAAATGTAATCATTTTATCCAGTAGTCCATGGTATAATTAAGGCTCTTCTCTTTTAGGTAACATATATTTATGAAATACCTCCCTTTTTTCTCTTTTGCACCAAGATAGAAGAAATATCAAATCTGAAATTGCTCATCAATTACAAATCTTTTCCCATTCTTACTTGAAATGTAAGATGTGTTTTCCTAATAATATGCACGATCTTCAGTTTATTAACCTTGGTGGCATCTGAATAATTTTAATCAGAGAATGGATATTGCTCTTAAGGCTTTACCCATTATCCGTGGGAAAGACCATACAAAAAGCACAACATTTTAATAATAAAGTAATGTTTTAGCACATCGACTATGCTGTACAGCAAAGATGCTTTTAAATCCCCATCAAGCACAGACCATGAAACTGCCCTAATGGATGTTACGCATTTTGCAAAATCTGCATGTATGAGACTATCTTACCCCTTCCCCAACTCTAGTTTTAAGTGGCTAGTATACAATAAATAATAAATATTAGTAATTAAGCATTCATTTCTATGCATTCATTTATATATTTGAAAATAAATTAGCCACAAACTGCAGCAAAGCAGATGTAACCCTTCTATCTTCTCTTCTGCTTTCCTAGCTTTTCACAAAAAGGCGAAACACATTAATGCATTTATCTCAATAAGAACAATGACCTCACTTCTCCATTGGTAGATTGATGATTACAAAAATACCCATATTTAATAATGTTGCCAGGCTGACTTTCCTCTCTGTTTTTGTGCTCTTGGTGGCTTCTGCCTGTCAATCCAATCTTGATTTATTCTGTAGGGTCTCCTGAATAAGACCTGATCCAAGACTACCATATTTATGACGGGTTTCCATGGACTTTGATGAGCTGCTACTAAATAAATTTAGTGCAAAGTGAGTTACATTCTCCTTTCCAATTGTATCATTAACCTATACTGTAAATGTCAGTTAAATTCAATAGCTTTGGCACGTTTCTTCCACATGTATTTTATTCTGTTCTGTTCAGCTTACTCTTCCTCATTCTTTATCTCTCTCTTTTTTTTTTAAAAAAAGTGTAATCTGTTACATGTCATTGTCTACTAAGAATTTAGGCTAATTTAATTCAGCAAGGCTTTTTGTTGTGTGCTTTCAAGTTATTTCTGACTTACGTTTACCCTATCAATAAGTTTTCTTAGTAAGATATGTTTAGAAGGAAGTTATGTGCTCCTTTATCTGAGGCTGGGAGAGTATGACTTATCCAAGGTCAACCAGTTGGGTTCCATAGCTTAGTGAGAATTTCAATCCTGGTTTCTCAGTATCCCAATCTAACATTCAGTCCATTTTACCACACTGGCTCTCTCTTGCAATGGACTTACTCCCAAATAAATGGATAGGGTGTTGGGTTGCTGTGAGTTTACTGGGAGGTATGACCCTGTTGCAGAAGCATTTTCTCCTAACATTTCATCCACATCTGTGGCAGGCATCCTCAGAGGTTGTGAAGTCTGTTGAAAACTAGGAAAGTGAAGTTTATGTATCCGTGGAATGTCCAGGGTGGGATAGTGGATTGCCATCTTAGATTTCTCAAATATTCACCTTTAAAATGTTTATATGATCTAAATATGTTTTATATTAGAGTGTCACGTCACCTCATGCTTCATGAAATGTAAAATGAATTCTTGACTTTAAAGATTTTTCATTTATCTCTTGTATAAATAATTTCAACACCATTGACAGTTACCTGAGGCAGGAACATACACCGAATGCCTTAGAGTATAGTCTACTAGAAATTAGATATAAACAGCTTCCTAGTCCTTCAGTGCAGGAGAGGATGCAATTGGATAAGTT